ATTAAAAACAAATAAATAAATAAAGTTCAATAAAATTATTTTTAAAAATACACCTGTGTATTGAAAAAAGCATTTTTAGCATAAGAATCAGAATTCCTTCACATGAATGCACGTAAGAATCTCATACACACTGACTACTTATTATACTGTGTCACAACATCTTTTAAAACTTGAATTTTAATCAAAAATTTTAAGTAAGCAAATCCCACTTGTTAATAATCCAGAAAAGGCATGGTAGCGATTAAAGTGAAAGGTTGATACAATGAGATACCACTGAATTACGGTGACCATTTGTGGACATATCAGCACTCTGCTCTCCCTGGTAAGACAGACCTCGCTACTGCAGTCAGTAAGTCGTGAGGAGGGAGAAGACCAAAACCAAACACAAACGGAATGCCACAAATCTGAAAAGGCTGGGACCTGATGCACTAGGAAGTTACGGCAGAGATTCCGGGCAGCACCCAGTCCTCCGCACGTACTCTACTGAGTCCCTTAGAATCGAAGCTGGCAGGGGACAGAGCGCACGTGTGCACTTTCACTCTCACTTCCGTCACAGTACGACAAACGATTGCTAATGGACTAGGATAAGCGAACTGTGAGCGCTCTGTCTTTTATTAAGAGTTGCTGCATTTTATTCCAAGCAGGGCTTATTTCATTACTCAGGTATCAGAAATTAATCCAGAAAAGTAAATCTCCAACATATGAAACACAAGACTGGGTTTCTCATTTCGTGAGGAAAGATGACAAGAACGAAAGTGGGAAAGATTCGAAGGACTTGTAAGGGCTGCAAAATGTGACCCGAGTGTCAGCCACAAGCATCCACCTGGGTCTCTCCATGAACCGACCTCTCTAAACCCTTTCTTTTGGATATGTTAAATCCAGGCATTACCTTTCAATGCTGTTCTTCTCTAATTTGACAAATGTTAAGACGCAGTCAAACATTCTGATTATTTAACAATTTCAAACAGAACTCTGGCAGCCTGAAATGTCTGTTACCTTAGGCTGACAAGGGTTTAATGTGCACAGCATAAGCCTGACTTCTTAGGATGCAGGTTTTGATATTCTAACCACTGCAGCCGAATCTGGTTTTATGGCTAAGCGGGCCGGGCCGTCTGAAGACGTTAACATGTACGCTGTAGTATGTGTTATCTTTTTCAAAGCTCTCTCAAATCCATTCTGATTCTAATTGGGCTTCTGATTAAAAATAATAACAGTGAGAAGGATGCTCGCATAAATCTGTATTATCTGCGTGGCACCCTGCACAGCCACACGGTCACTTTCTGTACACCACGACTGACTACACCACTACCTGGAGGCTGGTCAGAACACAGCGCTGCAATTTCATTCTTTTCTTTTTTAGAGAATTATTTTATTTAACTTTATTTATTTTAATTTAACCAGGGAGAGACAGAGAGAGAGAGAGCGCGTGCGCGAAAGCAAGCCGCCAGGTCCGGGACTCGAACCGCGGTCGGCCACGTGGGAGTCCAGCGTCCTTAACCACCACACCACCTGCCGGCCCCTCATTCTTTTTTTTTAAGAGAATTATTTTATTTAACTTTATTTATTTATGTATTTACTTACTTATTTATTTTAATTTGATCAGAGAGGGACAAAGTAAGAGAGAGAAAGAAAAGGAAAGGAAGAAAGCAAGCCACCAGGTCTGGGATTCAAACCCTGGTCTGCCATGTGGGAGTCTGTGGTCGGCCATGTGGAAGTCCAGTGTCCTTAACTACCACGCCACCTGCTGGCCCATTCAATTTTGTTCTTAAAATACTCTTAAAGAGCTGGCCCCAGAGCCTAGTGATTAAGGGAGCTGAGCTCTGGTGGCCAACTGCCATTTGAATCCTGAACCTTGTAATGTGAAAAACACAAGTGCATGTGCATGCATGCCCCAAATCCCAGCGGGATGGAGAAATGGAGGAGAGGTGTTGCAGCCTGACCATACTCACTGGGAAGTGCTGTCCGCCTCTTTCTGTACCTCTGGTGAGCGCACACACCCTCTGGCAATTAAAAAAAGACTCAGTCTCTCAAGTGTGAACATCCTTGACACTACATATGCACAAAAACTTCTATCCCTACTTACTGACCTAAGAAAAGATATTTAACTATGAATTAACGTTATTTAAGAAACAATACTATGATTTTTTAAAATCCATGAATAATCCAAAATTTTAATTTCCATCAGTAATTTCCTTTCTTTTTTTTAAACTTGCTACAGAGTGCACACAATCACCAGACAGAAAGTAGGAAAGTGAGAAAGCACCCCCAGGAGGTGGCCACACTTCAGTCCCTTTTCCTATGTTCTTCTCTTGGGATTTTAGACATGCACGCACACATGCCTGGCACGTTTTTCAAGCTGTTGAATCTGGGATTTAAACTATACAGCTGGCCATGTGGGATCCAGCTGCTTCAACCACCACGCCAGGGGCTGGCCTTATTTCTAGTTCTTTACTACATACATACATCCTTGCCAACGTTTCCTACCATTCTCACTATGGACCTTCTGGGTCTACGCTATGCACACTTTGCATTTGGATACCTAACAGCACCTATCTAGAATCAACACATCAGTTGACCCCTCCAGCGAGACTACCTGAGGGTGCGTGCTTCCCGTACCTGCACAGCAGTGTGAGTCCCCAACACCCTGCTCCCACTCCACGCTGGGGGACACACACATATTAAGGTTACTGAAAGGCGGAGTAAGTTATCAAAACACCATACTTTATATTGAGCTTTACCAAATTGTTTCACATCCATTAAGGTCTAAATTGGATCTAAATGATATTGCCAACATAACAGGAAAGCCATGCTTTAGTCTGCTCAGGCTACTATAGCAGGACACCAGACTCAAGGGCTTAAACAACAGAAGTTAATTTCTTACAGCCTGGCGGCCAGAAGTTTAACATCAAGGTACCAACACACAGGTTCAGGTTCCCAGGACCTCTCACGTGTGTGCACAGCGGGGAAAGTAAGCCCTCCAGTGTCTCTTCTTAAAAAAACGCCAACGTGAGGGCCCCACCTTCATGACTTCATCTAACCCTAATTACCTCCCAAAGTCACCATCCCTGACACACTGGGGGGGGGGGGGGAGGGGAACAGAACCCCCGACACCCTGGGGGGGGGGTAGGGCTACAAGATCAGAACTGGCGGTGAGGGGACACAAACATTCAGGCCAGGACAAATGAAATTTTATTTTTGCTTTGAATTTCATTTCTTTAGTGACTAAAAAAAAAAAAAAATCAATGTTTTAATTTACTTATTGGTCATTTATTTTTCCTTTCTTTCCTCTTATAAATGGTCTGTCTTGATTCCAGGCCTGAAAGAGGAAGTGTATAGGATAAACCCAGAACATCTCCCGACTCCAGAAAGCTACGAAGTCACCAGATTACTAGAGGCACGTCATAAGGACTTGGAAACCGACCTGAATAAGCCTGCTGTGTCCAGAGATGGGGCAATCTGAACATCATGACAACACTGACTGTGACAGACTGTGCCCCGGTGTGTCCAGGAGGTGGCACGTGGAATGAAAGATTACTCTAGAGTTTAACATTTTAATGTCTGCCCTCAGGTTTCAGACTTGCTTGGGCCTGTTACTCATTTCCTGCAGGACAGAAATATTTACCCTACGCTTGCTGTACTATTGCATTTTCAAAGCATGTAATTTGTTTTTAACTTTGTAGATCATAGCTAGACTTTGGATTTTTTTTATTTTATTTTTTTTAATGTTTTTGCCATAGGCCGCATGTACTCACTGGAGACAGACAAAGAGAGAGGAAAAGTGAGAAATCACCCCCCAGGGAGGATGGCCACACCACAATCCCTTCTCCTCCACTCTCCTTCTGGAATTTTGGACATGCATCCACATGCACACAGCATGATTTTCAAACCGTCGGGTCTGGGACTCAAACCATGGTGGACTGTGTGGGAGTCAAGAACTTTCACCAAGCCACCTGCTGGCCGCTGGTTTTTCTTTCTTTCTTTCTTTTTAATTTGCTAAAGGGCATGTGTACTTGCCAGAGAGACTTAGAGAAAAGTGAGAAAGCACCTCTTGGGAGATGGTCACGCAGTAATCTCCCCTCCCCTCCCATCCCAAGAGGACAGAGAAAATGGAAGAAAGGGGACTTCTTTTGGGTTTTTGAGCACACATACATACATTCCTATATGTTTCACGAGTTGCCCAGTCCAGGACAGCTGACCATATGGGGTCCAGACTCCTTAACCACAATGCCACTGGCTAGCCCTGGACTTTGGAGGCCCCGGACTAATTTAAACACCTCCACAGTGTTTAACTAATGGAATTAGTTTAAATCTATTTAATGAAATGGATATATTGCTTGTGAGAAGTACACGAGTTTGAAGGGGACAGGGCAGAAAGCTATGGTTTTATTGTGCCCCCCCCCATTCAGGTATTGAAACTGGTGAGCAATCACGGCAGTGCTGGGAGGTGGAGACTAACACAGTCAGTGTGGGAAGGGGGGCCTTCGGGAGGTGATGGGGATGAAGGCTGGTGCATTTACATGGAGAGCAACCAGACAGACGCGCAGGCGCAGGCAGGCATGCTCTCGCCTGTCTTGCCATGTGATGTCCTGCACTGCCTTGGGACTCCGCCACCAGGACGACCCCCACCAGATGCACACCCTTACCTAGCACTCCAACACCGTGAGCTACACAGAACACTGTTCATTTAAGTTACCCAGTCGTGGGTGTTGGTACTAACACCACAAAGGACTGAAACAGACTGAAACGTCCTATAAAGTACAAGAATTTGATGATGATATTCAAACAAAAAACAGACAAAAACCCCTACCCATCACCACGGGAGGACGCTAACATGCTAACAGACTGACCATGACTGAAAATGGAAAACTGAGGGCCATAGCCACACATTTTATCATCTTTCCTATATACTCTATAACTTAGGGTAACTAATATTAGACAAAAGAGGGTTTTTGCTTTTGTGAGTATCTCAGCTACCTAAACAAACAATTACAGGGGCTGACCTGTGGTCTGGTGTTTGGAGAGCTAGATTCCACAGGGCCGACCACGCACTGAGTCCCAGCCCCAGTGGCTTGAGAAACACACTGAGCACATGCCTCTGCGTGCCCCACACCCCGAGAGGGCGGGAAATGGGAGAAAGGGGACTGTGCACGGCCACACCCCACTGGAGAGTGCCTTCTCCTCCTCCTCCTCCGTCTCTTGAGTTCTCTCCGGTGAGTGCATGCACCCTCTGGCACACTGAAAAAAAAGAGGAACGATAAAATTAGAATGCGAACAAATCATATTCCCTCATGAAATGATGGACCAGGTACTGATCATAAATGGCAGTTTGTGACCTGCCATTACCACAAGGAAGGTCCCAGCTTAGTGTCCCCAGGTGTCTCTGTTCATGTGGACCATGGGCATTTGCCTGTGGGCCTGGCTGGCTGAACCTGGGGTGGAAAGTGGGGTGAAGCCTGCGCTGGGATGCCTCCCTCTCTCTCTTTCTCTCTATCTCATGAAGGAAATAAATAAAACTTAAACAAACAAACAAAAAAAGGCTGTGGGCCACCCAGGTAGTATGGGGGTTAAGGTGGCTGGATGTGCCACTGTGCAGTTCGAGTCCTGACCCTGGCAGTTTGGAAAACACACTGGGCACGTATGTATGCATGCCCAAAATCCCGAGGGACAATGGAGGTGAAGGGATTGCAGCATGGTCACCCCCTAGGGCATGATTTTTCACTCCCCACCCCCACAAGCGCACTTACCCTACAGTAAAAACTGGAAAAAAAAAAAAAAAAGAGAATATTTGCTCACAGTGGTACATAGTAGAGGGCAAGGCGAGACCCTGTTAAAAACAGGGTCTGTCGGGGCCAGCAGGTGGCATGGTGAATAAAGGCGCTGGATTCCCACAGGGCCAACTGAGGTTAAAGTCCTGGGCCTGGCGGCTTGCTTTCTCACTTTCCCTTTCTTTCTCTCTGTCTCTGTCTGGTCAATTAAAAAAAAATAATAATATAATGAAATTCTTTTTTTTAAAAATAAAGAGTCTGTCTTCCTCTCTTTTCCTTGTCTCACTCACTCATTGAAAATAAATAAAGTTGCTCATCACAAAAAGAAAGAAACCAGACAATTATACACCTCCTAAAGGAGACAATCCTGCTACCACAAAAATACAATTTGATTCTTCAGACCAAGTCTCTAGATTGAGCTACCAATGCATAGGAAATGTAAGAAATGAAAAAACACATTTAACATTTCTTAAGAGAGACTTCTGCTATGGAGTGTGTGTCCTCACCAGAGACAGAGAAAGGGAGAGACAGAAATCAAGAAATCACCCCGTCAGGGGGGATGGTCACGCTGCAATCCCTTATCCTCCATTATCCTTTCAGGATCTTGGGCATGCACACACGCGTGCTCAGCGTGAGTCTTAAGTTGTCAGGTCTGGGACTTGAACAGCAGTTGACTACGTGGGAGTACAGCGACATTACCATTACACCATTGGCTGGTCACCATATTTAACTTTATAGAAATGCAATGAGTAAAATTGTTTCTCCAATTAAAAGTTGGAGAGAAAAAAAGATAAAATGAACCTACAGGTTGGGGCTGGCAGGTGGCATGGTAGTTGAGGTGCTGAATTCCCACATGGCTGACTGCAGTTCAAGTTCCAAGCTTGGTGACTCGCTCTCTCTTTCCTCTCTCTCTCTCTGTCTTTCTCTGGTAAGTATGTGTGCCCTGTAGCAAATTAAGTAATAATGATAAATAAAATTAAATAAATAATTCTAAAAAAAAAATAAAGAACCTATAAACCTATAGGTTAAAAGAGACTTGAAACAAACCATCAATTGATAAACATTATTTAAATCTTTTTAAATATTTATTTAATATTTTCTAATAATTATTTTAGTCAACTTTATTTATTTATTCATTTGTTTATTTCAATTTGACCAGAGTGGAACAGAGAGAGAGAGAGAGAGAGGAAGATAGCAAGCCACCAGGTCCAGGGCTCGAACCGCAGTCGACCATGTGGGTACCTAGTGCCTTTAACCACCACACCACCTGTTAGCCCCCAATTTTTTTTATTATATTTTAATTGGACCAGGACCAGAGAGAGAGAAAGGTTAAGTGAGAAAGCAAACCACCAGGTTCAAGACTCAAACCACAGTCAGCCATGTGAGATTCCAGTGCCTCAACCACCACACTCCCTGCCAGCTCCCTAATTTGGATCTTAATTCAAACAATTGTTTATTTATTCATTATATAGAGATGTATAAAAATAATTTTTATTTAATGAATATTTTATATTAATTACTTTTCAAGATAAGACAACAGTATTGTGATTTTTTTTTTCTTTTCTTTTTGGAGAGGTTTTCACTATAGGGTCCATGTGCTCGCCAGAAAGACAGAGAGAGAGACAGAGATACAAAGCGAGAAATCAACCCCCAAGGGGGATGGCCACGCCATAATCCCTTCCCCTCCATTCTCCTCTCGGGATCTTGGGCACGCACGCACATGCGTCCGGCATGAGTTTAAGCCACTGGGTCCGGGACTCGAACTGCAGTCAACTACATGGGAGTCCAGCAACACAGCCATTACGCTAAATGCTGGTCCTAATTGTGATTGTTTCTGAAGAAGACTTTTCCCTTTAGAGATATGTACTAAAATATTTACTGAGAAAATTATATGAAATCATGATTTGCTTTAAAATAATCCCAGGGGAGAAAAGTAGGAGGTATCACCCAAACAAGATTAGCTAAGTATTAAAATTGCTGGCGCTCAGTGGCAAATACATTGCTTCCTATACTAGTCTTTACTCCATGGGCATGTGCGCATGCCCCAGCATGAACAGAGAGAACTTGTGTAAAATTTTCCATGATAAAAAGTTAAAATTTGAAAGCATACGGAGGTCAGGAGTCCTAGTAATTAAAGTGCTGGATTCCCACATGCATGACCACTGTTCAAATCTTGGACCTGGCAGCTTGCATGCATTCTCTCTCTCTCTCTCTCTCTCTCTCTGGTGAATACATGTGCCCTATAACAAATTAAATAATCATCATAAATAAAATGAAATAATTTATTATTTTCTTTTAAAGAGAGCTTTTGGCTACAGAGTGCATGTGCTCACCAGAGAGACAGAAAGCGAGAAATCATGCTTTGTGATTGTGAATGGCCACGCTGCAATCCCTTCTCATCTCAGGATTTTGGTCATACACTCATACGCACCCAGCATGAGTTTTAAGCCACCACGTCCAAGACTCGAACTCCAGTCAACTACGTAGGGTTCCAGTAACACAGACACTATTCCATCTGCTGGTCCAATAAATATACCTTAAAAAAATAAAATTAAAAAAAAGTGTATGTATGGTGCCAGCCCACGGCCTGGTGGTTTAGGGTGGCTGGATCACACATGGCTAACTCAGCAGTTCAAGTCTCAGACTCAGCAGGTAGAGAAACATGCGGGGCATGTGCCCAAAATTCCAAAAAGTGGGGAAAAAGCAGGAAAAGAAGTGTGGCAGGACTATGCCCCATGAAGGGTGCTTCGTTTTCCCTGTCTCTCTCGAGTGAGTGCACATGCCCTCTGACACATGTAAAAAATAAAGTGTGTGTGTAGATACATGTGTATATGTATGTATAATATACGTACACACATATTACATATGTCTCCTTAGCCTGGTTTTCTAATGAGGTGTTTATCTTTTTCTTACTGCTTTATACAGCTCTGGACATTCACCAAGATGCTCAATATACGTCGCACGTATTTCTCTGGTTTTACTTACCTTTTTGTTCATGTCATTCTTATCATCTAGACATTTAAATTAACACATGTCGGCCAGTCAGTGGCATGGCAGTTAAAGCGACCAGATCCCACACAGCCAACTGCACTGCTCAAGGACTGGACCCAGTGGCTTAAAACACACGCTGGGCATGTCCAAAATTCCAAAAGGAAGGAGAAATGGAAAAAGAGGGATTGTGGCATGGTGTAGCCATCCCCCATGGTGGGTGCTTTTTCACACCTCCACCCCTGAGCTGGCATACGCACCCTCTAGCATAAGGGTCCCCAGCCCCAGAGCCACTGTGGACCAGTGCAAGTCCATGGCCTATTGGGGGCCCAGGTTGTGCAGCAGAGGGACGGACGGAGGGCAAGTAAGCGAGGCCTCATCTGTATCTGCAGCCACTCCCCAACTCGCACTCCCAGTTGGCTCCACCTCCTGCCAGATCAGAGGCAGCTTGGAAGCACAGTCCCTACTGTGTAACTGTTTCACTGGATACTGCAATGTGGCAGTGGTGGAAATGGGGCACACGGTGGGTGTGGTGTGCTTCGGTCATCCTGGGACCAACATCCGCCCCTAGATCTGTGGAGGGATTGTCTTCCATGAAGCCAGGCCCAGGTCGCAGGAAAGTTGGGAAATGCTGCTCTAGCAAATTAAAAATAATAGGGGCTGGCAGGTGGCATGATGGCTGAGGCACTGGACTCCCACATGGCTGTCCATAGTTCAGGTCCCAGACCCAGCAGCCTGAAAGTCACAACAAATAAATAAATAAATAAATGTTTAAATAATAATAATAATAATAATGTATACTACAAAACAGTTGTCAGATCTTGTGCTTTATGAGTTTTTGTTTGGTGCGAAGTTTAAAAAGACTTTCTTCACACCAGAATCACATTAACATTTACCTACATTTCCCTTTAAGATATATATTTTGGGGGCCAGCAGGTGGCATGGTGGTTAAGAGCACTGGACGGCCACATGGCCAACTGTGGTTCAAGTCCCAGACCTGGCGGCTTGCTTTCTCACGCTCTTCTCTCTCTGGTCAAAGTAAAATAAATAAATAAATAAACAAACAAACTTAAATAATTCTTTTTTAAAAAGATATATATTTTTTTTAATTTTAAAGGACTATTTTATTTAACTTTATTTATTTATTTACTTTACTTTACTTTGACCAGAGAGGGATAGAGAGAGAAAGAAAAAAAGAGAGAAAGCAAGCTTCCAGATCTGGGACTCAAACCATGGTCGGCCACGTGGGAGTCCAGTGTCCTTAACCACCATATTCCCTGCTGGCCCTGTCCCTTTAAGATACATTTTAAAGGAACCCTGCATACCTACATTCAGAAACTAATAATAGTTCGTAACACTAGATGAAAACTAAAACATCATCTGCACCAGCCAAAAATACTAGAAAGGTGCAACCAGTGTC